ATTTGATATCTTAGGTATAAGCGTAAAAATAGGGGCTCATACAGTTTACGAGGTTATAAAATGCATGACTTGTCTCTATTTTCATGTAAACATTCGAAATATTTCGACAGCAAAGTAGCAACTGTTTCAGATCGAATGCACACGGAGCTACACGGACAGCACACTAGGGACAATGGCAGGGTACTGAAATAGAACGTCACTAAAAAATTCTGTATGATTAATTTAGATCATGTCCATTTTCAACGTAAAACAGCCATTTATTTTGCACCAAACATTTGGCAGTATTTACACAATTGCGCCTTTTTGTAAACACGCGTTGCGTGTATTCCACACAATTGCGTGGCTCATTTTGCTCGCGCATTCTCAGACAAATTTCCCACCTGTAGCAAAACGTCGTTTGAATCGAATGAACGAATAATTCCAGAAACGATGGAACAGGGCTGTTATAAATATTTTTGCGAGAAGTTATATATGTCACATAAAAGAAAGCAGTTTAACACACCAAAGTGGATGAAAACCTTAAATAATCCAAACACTGAGTTTGATTTAGCACCGCGAGGTATAGGGAGATTGCTTCTATTATTTGAATAATGCGAGCAAAAGCGTCGCCATGTCCATTTGACCAAATCAGCGTGATTGTGCTGAAAAATGCCCCATCCTTCGAACAGTCTTGTGGAGAATTGTCCAGGGTTATGGGAAACTAGATGTATACCATCACAATGGAAAACGGGCTTGTCTGTTCTTGCGGACAAAAAGGGTTCAAAAGACAATTTAGATAATTTTAAACCAATTACGTTAGAACCAGTTATGTTAAAGGTCTTGACGCCCTGGATTCGTGATAGAGTTTACAAGTTTCTTGTATCTAATAAGTTCATAGACGAAAAACTACAAAAGAATTTCTGGTCAGTGGTATCTGGTACAGTAGAGCATGCAGAGACTCTGTCCCACATCAACGTCTACTCTGTGATTACCCTGATGCAATGATAGAAGAATCTCAATCGATAGGATAACATCCGATTCCTGCGTGACTACAATTATTAAGGTGGCTGGATATATTAATCCACACAAAATCCCTTATGCAAGATTTGCGAACTATACATATGTTACCAAAACTGACATAAATTAAAAGAAGAAACATCAAAACAGATGAACATCCTGATATCTGCTGCTTAAAACCTAAAGGCCTATCTACACGATACGACTAGTCGTATACGATTCTTATCCTGGCGTATGAAAACGATTGCTGACGCCACTATTCCTGTTCATCAGTTTATGGTGAAGTTTGAAATTTGACATCTTTACACGCATTTATTCGCCGGAGTACATACGCCAGGATAAGAATCGTATACGATTAGTCGTATCGTGTAGATAGGCCTTAAGAATACGACGTTCGTAGAACTGTCAAACTATTATATATACAGTACATCTAAAGTTTTGAAAAAGGTACATCAAGAACTATCAATCCTTTACTGATCTAAATTTTCCGGGGTATCTGCCACACTTTATACAGTATAATTATGCGAATATATAGCAAGTGAACTCACCAAAAAGAAGTTTCCAACAGACCATCCTAACATTGATACTGATGATCCAAGCATAAAGACAAAGAACTGAGGACGTTTACATAAAGACATGTCGCAAAATGATTTTCTCTTCTTTTCAGAAATATTTGGAACCTCTTCAATCCAACCATAGGTTAAACTTAACAGACAAATGATGACTCCAAGATAGCCAAGTATACGAAACATAACTTTCCAGTGAAATTGTTCCAATAAAAATGTTATTATCAAAGAAAATGTTAACATTCCTGCGGGACCGCCACTGGATACTAAAGCGCATGCCATTCCTTGATATCGTGACGACATGCATTTAATAGGGGCTATCGATTTTGATGAAAATAATAAAGATGCCGCTACTGCAAAAATAAGGGAAAATGAAGGAAATAGGCCATAGATTGTATTTACGTAAGAAGCTGATATTAAGCCAACAGAATATAGAAATCCTCCTGCAATTGAAATATTACGTATTCCACACCAGTCGATGAAAGATCCCACCAGCGGACCGAGTACGAGCATTAACGAAAACTGACATGATCCGACCAGTGCTGAAAAACAATATAAACATTTATTTTTTTCCGATCCGTAGTGGCAGGTCCGTAACAACAACAACAACAACAACAACAACAACAACAACAACAACAACAACAACAACAACAACAACAACAACAACAACAACAACAACAACAGCAACAACAACAACAACAACATCAAATTTATCAAATTTTTTAAGAGGCTGCTCATGCGTGTGTTTTGTTTACATTTTTTGTTTCAAACAATAGATAAGTTAATTAAAATTCAGATCTGTGGACCCACAGATCGAAATTATAAATCAAATTATCTGTTGTTTGAAACAACAATGTAAACAAAACACGTGCATGAGCAGAACGAACTTGACAGCCTCTTTAAATAATACAAAAATAAGAATGGCCCGCAAATAGTTAAAGCAAATCGTAAATGGATGGAGCCTGTTGATTGGTTCGCCGTGATGTAAATGAACCTTCTGATTGGTTGACGAGAGGTCCGTATCATACGATACGGACCTCACACACATTATGGACCTCTCACATTTCGCCCGAGGCGTGAAGACAATTTTCAAAGTAAAAATACAATCTATACTAAACTCCCTATCGATACTAATGATAGGAAAATAAGCTGAACTGGCTCCAATGGATGTAGTGTCAAGCTCTCTCTCCTCCGCAGAGCCTCCTTAAGTATTTACAAATAACTTACATGAAGTTTCCTGAATAAAAATGAGAGCGCGCGGTGTGATGGGAAGGTTGAAATGAAGCTGGGAAGGCTCTGCCACATACTGCAACGAAGTATGGTTTTTGAACCAAACCAGTTGTTTGACCTTTTTTTAAACTTGAAATCGACGGAAATGTGGAAGAAATTGAAATAAATCTTCATAATCTGAGTATCGAAGTTCGGTAGAGTCATTTTTATAAAGGAATGCTGCAATTTAGAGGATGTTTATAATTAGATAGCTCGTATCCATTTATACTCATTTGCAATTTCTCAATATTCTTCGGTGCAAATGGACAGAAGAAGACAGTAGTGACAGTGATATTTGATTCTCTCCAGGAGATTCAAGTACAGCTGAAAAGGAAAGTGGAAAACATGTTTTAACACCCTCAAAGGTTGATATCGAACAGAACTCCAAATGATATTATATACGACGCCATCTTAGTTGATTGCATTAACTAGCAGAGGCTTCCTTTATTTCGCTCTTCCAATCAATCCTTGCGCGCTTACTTTTCCCTCACTAGAAACTTCATGTAAGCCTCTGTGGAGGAGAGAGATGTCAACCCCGAAATGTGTTTTTTTCGACCTAAATGCGAAAAAACAAGAGTTTCATTGACGTATGAGTATCGAAAAATAAGTAACAGTGCCAAATGGTTAGTTTGAAAACCTCAGCATATATATATATATATATATATATATATATATATATATATATATATATATATATATATATATATATATATATATATATAAAA